ATATAATATATATATTTAAATAATGTTTTATCAAATCATTTATTTCTTGATTTCAATTTTTAAGGCTTTATTCACGCTTAAAATATTATTGGATATTATAATATAAAATAAGTGTTACAGCATCTTTTGTAGCTAATAAGAATCGTTGGGATGATCCCTAAAATAGATAGACAAATTTTTAAGTTTTGAGTATTTAATTTGAACAATGAATAAAATTTTTGTATCTAACAGGTTTGTGATTAAAATTAAGAGAATCAGCCTTCATTATCATCATAATTTTGAAAAAAGGAAAAGAGATTATATGAGATACAAAAGTTAGAACTTAAACCCAAAATAATTAACCTATGAATGGAAGTGCTTAAATGATCTCTTTAGTATTATCATACATACCAAATTAGAGACCTCTAAAGATCATTATTTGAGAGATACAAGAACTAAGACCTTTGTAAAATCCAAATATTCCGTCATTTTTAAATATTTAAAAAGTACAATCTCTCCAAGAGATATCAAATCTTTTTGCTATTTTTTATAGATATTTAGTTCTTTAGATTACAAACTCATATGGATAAATAACTAGCATTGTTGAAACACCAGCCAGGCTTCCTAAAAATAAATTCTTTAGGTTTTAATAATAATTAGCTAAAATAGTGTTAGTTTTACCTTTAGTAAATAATACTTGTGAATAAGCATCTTTAAAAGCAAAGGCTAATGCTTAATGTGGAATATACTTAACAGTATTTGTAAAAATACCTCTAAAAAGATGGGATAAATTCTAACATAATTTTTATATCAATACTTTCTATTCATTATTTTGGAATATTGTAGTTGGACAATTTTCTATTGGAGTAAAAAAACCACTTGAAATTAAAGAGGATGTTGTTGCAATAAATAGATCAATAATAAAATCAGACATAATTTTAATGATTTACTAAACATCAGATCGTTTATTAATTATGGTAATGTAAACTATTAAATATTATTAAATGTAATATATATAATAAAATTTTCATTAAAATTAAAGCAAAAACTCTTCTGCATTATATATTTTGTTTCCACCATAAATTATTTGTTTGTTGATGCTTTTAGCAAAATCGTTTAATTCAGCATATTCATTATAGCATGCACCATCACAAAAACAAACTAATATTCCTTTAATTGTTGATAATAAACCAAATTCTAATCTCTAAAATAGAATGGAAATATACAGATATATTTTTGACTCTTGAATCATACATTGTTAAAATAGATTATAGTTCATCGATCTTTAATTCATTCAAAAATAGATTCTCTAACATTTATACAATTGCAGATTTCTTTCCTCCTATCAAAATTGGATTAAAAATATACTTTATAATAAAAAGTTTTAAAAATTTTTTAAAAGACCTTTTCCAGAATTGGGCATCTTGGATGTAATAGCAGCAAATAATGATTTATATACACTTTATTATTTATTATTTTAATTAGAAGCTACCCTTTATTTGAAATTAGAAAGAATATTTTAATATTTTTCATTCTTAATTTAAAATAGCTATTCAAATTTCTTAAATTCTTATTAATTGTAATTATTTAATAACATTAGAATAAGTAATCTTAATTTATCAATTTCTTTTGATGATTCTATTTGATTATCTTCTGATTATGGATAATCATTGATTGCCAAAAGATCATTTTATAAAATGCTTTATCCTAATTAATAAAATTTATCAAGAGATTTTTATTTTGTAATTTAAGTTAATTGATTGGCAAGATTTAGATGTGAATCAACCATTTTTTTTTATTAATTCATTTAAGGTACTAAATCAATAGCACTAAGAGCACTAGAAATTTCTTAATTTTATTATGAAACTTATTAATATTAAGATGTCCAATCATTTAATTCAGTATTAATTTTATCTATGGCATCAGGCAAAGCCATATTACATGCTTAATGCCATAGATTATCATATTAAGGAGATAGATCATATACTTGATCTTCTAATTTAACTTTATTGTATTTAATATTAAGAGTATCATGAAGTAATGCTCCATAAGTGTTTGAATGCATGATTAGAGTATTAAGATCAATATCTCTATCAGGTAAAATGATAGCTAAGAGAGGATAATCAGAATTAAATTCAAGTATTTTAAGTTTTTCGATTAATTCTTTAGCTATTAATTCAACTTTTGAATTTTTTTAGAATAATATTAAAGGTTAAACTTTGAGTGCTAAAATAATAGAAAATAATCCATTAACAATTTGATTTTCAAGATTAAAGAAATTATGATTGAGCGCAACAAAATCAAGATTGTGTTAATAGACTTTTTAAATTTTTTAGATAGCTCCACTAATTTTGCTAAGTTCTTTTGCCATGAATTCAAGTAAATTATTTTCAATTGGAGATGAAAAATTGATATAAACTTCAGAATAGAGATCTCGATTGAAATCTTCTACTAATTTTTCTATACTAAGTTAGATAGGTTAAATGAAATAGATAGCAGTGACTCCATATAATCTTTCTCTATTTTGATCAAGATTAAAATGAAGTGTAATGCACATTTCTCTTAAATCTCCTACTCTATAAATGGTTGATAATCTTTTTTCACAATATGAATCATAACATAATATTTTCCAAGGAATTCGAATTTCTGGTTTAAGAATAGGAGTTAAGGCATCTCTTTAAGCATAAATGAGTGACGTGTTAATTTACATTTATATAATTAATAATAATATTAATATATTCAAATATTAGATGTTTGATTAATGTGTATTATGAGTGATGATATATATATATATTATAAATAATGTATGTGAAAAGGGAAGACAGAATTAAAAATTAATAAAAATTAATATTTCTTATATTAAATGAAAGCAGCATATATTGTATCAGCAGCAAGAACACCAATAGGTTGTTTTTTAGGGAAATTGAGTAAAGTAAAAGCAACAGAATTGGGAGCAACAGCAATAAAAGGTGCTTTATCTTAAATTTCTATTCCATAAGATGCTATAGATGAAGCTATTTTAGGAAATGTTTGTTCTGCTGGTATTGGTTAAGTATAAATATAAAATAATTTTATATAGGCACCTGCTAGATAAGCAGTAATAAAAGCAGGATTGCCATCAACAACACCATGTACAACAATAAATAAGGTATGTTCTTCTGGAATGAAATCAGTAACATTTGGAACTTAAAGCATTTAATTAGGATAATCTAATATAGTATTAACAGGAGGATTTGAATCAATGTCTAATATTCCTCATTATATAAATGCAAGATAACCATTAAAATATGGAGATGGCAAATTATTAGATGGATTAGCTACAGATGGTTTATCTGATGCTTATAGTAATGTTGCAATGGGTGTTTGTGCAGAGAAGACAGTTAATGATCTTAAATTAACAAGATAATTATAAGATGATTTTACTATTACTAGTTATGAAAGAGCACTTGAATCTATTAAAACAGGTAGATGGACACATGAAATTACACCTGTTCAAGTTTCAGATAAAGAGGTTGTTACTGAAGATGAAGAAGTTAAAAGATATTAAAAAGAAAAAATACCACTTCTTAAACCAGTATTTGCTAAAAATGGAAGTGTTACTGCTGCTAATTCAAGTAAAATTAATGATGGTGCATGTGCTATCATATTAGCATCTGAAGAAGCATTAAAAAAATATAAATTAACACCTCTTGCTAGAATTGTTGCTTATGCAGATTCGGAACTTGATCCAATGGATTTTTGTATTGCACCTGCTAAATCATCTGCAAAAGCATTATCAAGAGCTGGGTATTTTTATTATTCTGATATTATCTTAGACTTAAATTAGCAAATATTGATTATCATGAAATTAATGAAGCATTTGCTGCTACTGTTTTAGCTAATATGAAATTATTAGATTTACCATTAGAAAGAGTCAATGTTAATGGTGGTGCTGTTGCTTTAGGTCATCCTATTGGTATGAGTGGTGCTAGAATCATTCTATCTTTACTCACTGTCTTAAAATAAAATTAAGGTAAATATGGATTAGCTGGAATCTGTAATGGTGGTGGAGGTGCTACATCAATTATCATTGAAAACTTAAATTGAGATTTATAATCCAATTATATAGTCTATAAATAGATTTATATCTTTATTTAAAAATATATATTATTAAAATTTTATTTAAAAATATATATTATTAAAAATTTATTCAAAAATATATATTATTAAAAATTTATTCAAAAATATATTATTATTTCTTTATTCAAAAATATATATATTTATCATTTCTTTATACTTTTTGGATTAATATCATTTTTATATGTAACACACTTTCCATTCTCTAAATTAAAATCTTATTCCAAACCTTTATTAGGTTCATCGCATTTTACAGTCAGTAATTAATCATTTAATAGAAATTCAGCCTTGCTTTGTAATTTTTATTTTACTAAAGCAATAAATAATTTCTTTGTTTCATCTAAATCTGGAAGTTCATAATGATAAATTGCTTTTTGATTATTTTATCTATTTTGAGATTATTATTATTATTATGGTTTAGATATCTATTAATTTTTTACTTATTATCGATTTTACTTTTATGGTTAATCTTTTATTCTTCTAGGTTCTACTTTTGGATATGTTTTTTATTATTATTTAACAAATTATGTTTTCTATTTAAAATTTTATTTAAAATCACCAAAATCAAATTCATTTAGATCATTTTAAACTTCTCTAGTATTCAAATCTACATACTCACCTTTTAAATCGAAAAAATAGATCTAAAACTTAAAATTGAAATATACTTAACCATCTTCGCATTTTAATTTCCATCCCAAAGCCTCTCCAAATTTATCATAATAACATCCATTTGTATCAAGAAAATTTTAATCTGTATCCAATTTATTTATATTAACTTATTCATTATGTTTTGGTAGAGTAGATGGATCTTTATCATAAGGAATAAAAAATCCTTCACTATTGTAAAAGTAAGTTTGATCATCAAATGTTTTATACCATCCAGCAGGTTTACCTTAACTATCATAATAACAATTCTTTTCATCAATCCAACTTATGATAGAATGAAATTTATATACCCATTGTTAGAATCTAAAAAAAACGTAGATCCATCTAATAATTTAAAAGCAGGTTTTCCATCTATTAAAATTTCAAAAAAATTATTAAATCTATCAGGTTCATGATCTGGTAATGTTTCTGGATCAATTTCTGTAGGAATATTCATTATTATAATTAATAAATATTAATATCACTTCTAAAAATAATCTAATTCTCTCAAATAATTAGAATCACAATTAATACTAACTCATTTCCGTTCTATAAACCTTACAATTAAAGTTACTAATATAACCATTTCCTATATATGGGATCAATTTCAATAAGATATATCCTTCTAATCTAACTGGAGCCTAAATCTGAAGTATTTTTTACAAGACTCTGAAATCATTTGAGTTTGTTAAAAAGGATTGGTTTTAGAATATTTAAAATTATAAAGTGATGTTAAATCTGTTAAAATAATTATAATATATTACGATTTAGATGGAATAATAAAATGAGGAATATGCACGATATATATAATGTATTATTAATAATCATCTTTTTTTGAATCCATATTTTTTTCTTTCATAAAACAAATCTGTTTTAGCAGATCCTAAATTAACAATTTTGGGACATCCATCTCTATCTTTTTCTTATTAAACACATTCTCTACAATAATATGCATCTATAATAATAAATAAGTGAATACCACTAACACCAACTCCACCACAAATTACACATCTACCTTAAAAACTTCCATAATTGCACTCATCACAAATTTTGACTAGAACACTAGGTCTGACATATGAATCACATATCACACATTTACCATCACATTTCTCACATAATCTACCAATTGCAATACCTGGTTATTTACGACACATAATCAAATCGGGATGATGTTTTGCCATTATTTATATATATTTATAAGTATTTATATATATATTCATTTATATGTAATCCAAATCTTTACTTTCTTATCTGCAGAACAACTAATTAAGTATTAACTAAATTATAAATCTGTAATCTAATCATTATGTGCATCTAATTCAATAAGTGATTCAATCAAAACTGTTACTCTCCATTTCTAAATCTCTATAATTTAAAAGATTAATTACTTCCTGAAACATCGCCAGTATAAAATGTATCTAATTCTTTTCCTTCTACTGAAGCTGTAAATTAACTTCTATGTTTTATTGTTGTTACCAATTATAATGAACTATCCCATAATCTAATCACTCCGTCTGTTCCTATTGTTGTTACTCTACTATCATGCATAGGTATTATTCCTATTATTTCATTATTACTGGATTGGATAACATTGTCTACATGAAATACATTCCCCAATCTCCATTAATAAAGTCTACCACCCAAATCTGCTGAATATAATCTATTCTCAAATATTGCAAAACTGCAACAATCATATTTATGCATATATATTTAAGGAGTCAAATTTATAAATAAATATTCTATAGGTTGATCTGCTATTATTTGCTATTTCAATTTATAAACTATTAATTGAGTTTGAACTAATATTAAAAATAAATCATTCATCAAACTTATTTTATTTATTATACCTACATTCGGTGTTATGAATTCTCCTTTCGGAATCCACTTATCTTTTCTCTTCTCATACATCAATACTTAATTCTAAGTCAATAAAGCTAATAGGCTTTACGTTATTTCAACTACTTGTTTTATATTTTAATTATTCCCTAACTATTACTATAATTTTAAACTAGGATACTCAAAAAATGAAACTACTTTTGAACATGTTACTATCTAACCATTTTTCATTCTTATACTTGAAATTACATAACTTGTATGATCAATTACTCCATACAATTAAAAATTTTCAGTTTTTTCAAATTATAATTATGTATTATCAAATTTAGTTGGTTTAGCTAGTAATGAAGTATAATCTATTGATTGAATATATTCTTATTATTTTTCAGGATATAAACCATCGACAAATTCTTAATATGTTCCATAGGGTTTAGAAACATGATACTCTTTAGGATTTGATAGATGGATTGCACTCTAAAATAATCGATCTTCACTTGATTTAAGAGAATTTTCTAATTTCAAGATATTTTCTAACTTGATTTACTATTGATCTAATTAATACTAATTTCCAATATAAAATAAACCATCCAAAACAGTTTTAATTTAATTGATTTATTCTCTAACTTTAGTGACAATTCTAATTTTATCTTTTTCATATTTGTTAATTACGTCTTATGATCCTTAATGCAATATTGGTAAAACTAATTATAATCCTTCTTCATATACTTTACCATCCTTCATCATTTCAATATGATCAATGATGTTCTTTAATTATTTGCTATGAATCCATTAATTATCAATAAGTGAAAATAATTTAGATTCTCTTTAATTGAGTATCTGATTAGTTTTATCTCTTAAATATTGAAATTCCTTTTTAATATGTTAAGTGATATCTTCTTTGAAATAAATTCGTTTTAAGCGATCGACTTCTGATCTTATTTAAGATTAATGATTACTTTTAAAATTCATATAACATCCGATCAACAAATTTTGAAAGTGGTGTAATATTGGTATCTACATGACCAATATGTTATTAATTAACACATGAATTGCATGCTAATTTATATTTACAATCAAGTTTATTGCAAATATGAGTAGTTTAAGAATTATGTTAATAACAATTCATTAGATTGTGCATATTAATAATTATTAATAATAATTATTTCGTTTAATGAGAAAGAGATTTCATTTGCTGTTGATAAGTAATAAAAGAATTAATTGAAATTACTCTCTTGGTATAAGGTGTCATACTTATCAATAATAAATTGGTTATTTTATGTATTTTTATATATTACCTGGGATATAAATGTATTACAGAATTTATAATATGAATAGTTCTTACTGAAAAGATATTGAAGTAATTCAAAATCGTTATTAAATGGCATGTGATAATAACATTAATAATAAGCCTATATTTTGTAATAGGATTATTTCTTAGTTTAATTAAAAGTGAAATTGAATCAAGAATGATAGAATAATTGAATTTTAATTACAGCATTTGGGATTATTAACAGTAGAATTGATAATCTATTGGAATAGTGAAATGCCATAATACGAATAGGTAGAATAGAATGAGAATTACACATTTTAATAGAAAAAAATTAGTTATTTAAGATAACAGAGTATAATGAATAAGATAATAATATTAATAATAGTGTAGTTATGTCTAAATGATGGATTAATAGCATTGTTTTTAGTTGTTTGTATGTTAATATGGTTAGCATTATATTTTCATAAAATATTATTAGGAGAGAATTACTTTAGAATAATTATGATTTTGAGTGTATTTTGGATTTCTAAATAATTCAGTATTTTAAAAGGATTAGTCTATTTACTTTTATTAGTTGGATAATTAAAGAAAAAATAATAATTTAAAATCACTAGACACTAGACGTTATTCATGTGCAATCTCAATTTTATATTTGGCATTCGTTTAGTTTTTTTTATTAAAATTATTTAATATACCATAATTTAAGGTGAATGTTTATTTTCAATATTTGGGAGTCTATGAATAACCATAATTTAATCCAGATGAATTATTAGCTATTTGGGATTATTTTTATAATAGATTCAATGTAATAATCATTGATTTATTATATATTCTTATCGTCAGTTGGCTTGTCTATTCATAACAAACTATTGATGATAGAAGATGTTAGAAAATAATAAATGATTTAAATTCTAAAGATAGACCAATTAGACTATAGAAACCAAGTTGTTGGACTAAATTCAAATAGAATTTATCAAATTTTAATTATTAATTTTAGAAGAGTTTCTTAATTCATTTTGATGAAATAGTCATCATTTATTCACTTATTACTGCTTTACGTCATGCAGATATTTTCAGAGGTGTCTTTTTAATCTTCTTTATACTTTATGCTTTTGCACCACTTTAACAAAGAAGAAAGTATATGAGAAATCATTTAAGCATTGGATATATTATATTATTCATATTATATTCAATGTAATTGATGTTTCTAAGATCATTATCCACACTCAATTTTGTATTTAAATTTGGTGGTTTGGATGAAGTTACACAATAATTTCAATTCTCTTTCTATTTCATCTACAAATATTATGATATCGTTATAGAATGTGTATTATTAACATTTTCAATTTAAGTAATCTAAAAAAGTGAACATTATTAAGAATACAAGAAAAAATTAAATAATTATAATCTCGATTATTTATAGTAAATATTTTACAATAATGGATTAATTTTTTGTTAAATAATTGCTTTAATTGTAGCATTTATTCCACCTGCTAATTTGTTGTGATTGATATTTATATTCTTTTTTTAACTTTTTCTTTATTTGTATTATATTTATGGTTAACTCAATATTATAATGGATAGATTATACTAATATTGGCCATTAATGATTACACTAACTCTAATAATACTGATTGTCAGATACACATATACAATTAAATTCTTTTACTATCTTGTAGAATTATACTTTTAATAACCAACTCTATTAAGTGATTTTGGTTTAGATCCAGATTTTAATACTCTTAAATTAGTAGGAACTGGTATTGCTTTATTAGTTTTATGTGCATATAAAAGAGCATATTTAGTCCCATCTATTTAAAAAGAAATATAATATAAATAGATATATAAAAAAGATATATTATCTTACTATTTTTATTGCATTTATATCAAGATTTGTGTATATACTTATCCAATATGTTTTTTAAGCAGAACTTCTTAGAAATGCTTAAGGTTAAGAAACTATATCATGGATTGGAATTGAAAATTAATATCAAAATAAATATTTGTATTTATAAATTATGTTTCATTTATCAGAAATGCTCTAAGTATTGAATGTAATGTTTAAATAATAAGTAAATGATTATTTATAATTATTTTTAATTAGTAGCAAATAGAATAAGAAGAAAAATCTTAGGATTAGATTTTCTTTGATGAATTGGATGATTAAAATGAAAGATTTTCTAAGATATAAGATTATTACTAAGTAAGATCAAATATATAACGATAATCATAAATCAATTGATAATCTGTTTACTTAAATAAGATTAGAATTATGTTTATTTTTTATATTCATAACAGCATATTATTAAAGAAATTTCTTTTCTTTTTTTTATATTATAGTAGCAAGTGCTTTTGCAAATAGATCATGTATGTTAGATAGACATACAAAACTTGGTAAATTGGATAAGCATGGGGTGCATTATGTATTTTGTAAATGTTAGAAGTAATTAGAAAATATGGTACATTATAATGGACTCCACCATCTTGGGATGTTCGTAAATCATGGTGGTATTTTAAATATACTTGTGATCCTAAAGGAAAGGAATCATTTAATTATGATGATCCTAATGATTCTACTAGTGATTTTATGAAATGTTAAACTGATTGGAATTATTGGTTATCTTTATAAGGATATACAAATTGGGATTTAGGGTTGAATTTTATTGCTTTATTAATTTCATTATGTTTCTATCGTCATTTCACTACTATCAGAAGAAGACAATAAGAATAAGAGATTAATAATCATTTTAATCCTAATAGAGAAAATATTCAAGAAAGTATAATTGAAAAAATGATTTCACTTATGAAGATAATAGAAAAAAGATAATCGATTTTATAAAATTTTTTATCCTTTTTATTTCTATAAATTTGCTTTGATAATAGTTTTATTGATAGGTATGTCATCTGATGTTTAATCAATACAGAAGTTATTTCTTGTATCTATTTTTTTTTGGCTTTAAATTTATTATATATGAGTGAGAAATTAGAAAAAGAGAGAAATATAATATGGAGTAAATTGATATTATTTAATATTATTGTGATGATAGCAATGTCATTATATTAAGCTCCTTTTATTAAATGTCCAATTATATATGAAAATGATAGATTTTATTATGATAATGTAGAATGTGTGTAGATTCAATTAAATAATTATTATTATAATAGTGATTTCTTAATATTTCTATAAGATGAATTTTAATTATTAGCTAGATAAACTAACTAGGTTTTTAAAGAAATATGAAAGAGTATCAACCTTAGATGTTATTTATATGTTTTTATCTCATCTTTTAGGTTTGAATAAAACATTAGAGTAATTAATTTATATTTATAAATTAGTTTTCGTTTTGGTTTTTGTAAAGAAACTTTGATGGCATTCTTTTTTTTACTTGGTTTATTATAAAGAAATATTTGAGCTCATCCATATATGAAATTATATGTAGATCCATATTTGTAGAGATAATAATAATAATAAAAAATTAATGCTATTTAATTGATTGAAGGAATTCATTTAAAAAGAATTTAGGATTTCAAATATGTATAAGCATAAAAATAAGTACATGAGAGTTTATAATAAAGAGTTTAAAATAGAGCAGAAAAATGGGAAAATTTTTTTTAATTTGATGATCATATAGATATTTATATATAAATATATAACTCTAAGAGTTTGAAAAAAAAGAGTTTTTTTTATTTGACACCAAAACGAGAAGAACAATTTTAAATCATTTAATTTACAGAAGAACGATCTTGAAGATAATTAATAACATACAAGTTTTGATTCTGAAAAGTTTTAAGGTTTTAAAGATGAATTTAAAAAATTAATACAAGCTGAAAAGATAACTTAATTAAATTAAGCACCAGTAATACATTTATATGATGCATGTTATATTGTTAAAACTCTATAAATTAGAAGGATTTAAAATTGAGATTGAAGAAATTGATGTTATTGGAAGAAAAAAGATAATTAGAAAGAGTTTATTTAAATGAAAAAATAGGATTAACAAATTATCATATTTAAGTAATAGATGAAATTGATAGAAAAATTTATTAAATTGAAAATGATATTTAATAACTATTTAAAGTATAACCTTTTAAAAAATCAACATCAATGAAAGAAATATAAATGATATCATTTGAAGAATGTAGAGGAGATCATAAATCTTTTGAAATACATAGTGAATAAGATGAAAGATAATAATAATAAATATATGAAAAAGAAGAAAATATAAAAGATTTTAAGAAATCTGAAAATGATAATTCAGATGATGAATCTAAAATAGTATAAACCAAAAAAGTAATTTTCTGAAAATTTAAAAGATTTAATCATTCATATTCTTGCTCATGATACTTACATTAGAGAATAAGAATAATAATAAAATGAAATAGACGAAAAGAAATTATCAGTATTAATATTTGTGTTTATAGCACATTACTTTTAAGTAGTATGTGTTTTATTAATACTAATATTATTGCATTATTTTATCCATTTTCAGCTTTTCTTTATGGATTATTAGAGAATCCTGTTCCATCTAAAAGATATTGGAATTTTCTATTAATATATGCCATAATAATTATTTCATTAAAGTTTATTTATAAGATGACAATCTTTTGTGATTCACCTCCATATACATTTATTGGATTCGCTTAAGAAGAAGCATGTGAACCTAGAGTTACAACTCAATAAGTGAAAATTACTAGAATTGATTATGTTATTGGTATTCGAAAATATTAAGGAGCTGAAACTTTTATGAATGCAATCTGGATTGAATTTCTATTATTTATTGCACTTTTAATACAAAGATATTTATTATAAACTTAAGGTATTTGGGATTATATGAAAATATCATTAGATTAATATTTCATCCATAATACCAATAATAATAAATAGATGATGATATTTAAAGTGAAAATCTATAAGACTCTAGTTTTAAAGAATCTATATAAGAAAGTGATGATTTTTCAGAAAATCATTAAGTATAAGAATAATAAAAAGAATAATAAACTATTATGATATCAATTTAACAATTCTTTACATCAATATGGTAATAAATGGTTAAGTACTATTATCTTTTATTTCCTCTTGCATTATCTACCATTTATATTTAATAAAAGTATGATCCAACAACTAAAAAAATGATTTAAAAGGATAGAGTTGTTCTACCAGAATAAATAAAGGTAGGTAGAGATTTCTATGCTCCTAGATTTATTATTTTTTGATTATTTTAGTCTATTTTTACTCTTCTATCCAAATATCATAGCCAAAAGATCAAAGTAGCCATTCATTTTATATTAATTATTGTTGTTCATTATTACTTCTTTTTTGTTATACCATAAAAAACTAATAAAAGTATTCTATCATTATTATTATAATTTTTAGGATTCTAAGAATCATTTTATTTAATATTTGCATACATTCTAGTTTGCATTTATTTTATTATTTCATCTGTTTAAATTCGATATGGATATCCTATCTAAAAATATACTTAAATTTTTACCGATTCTCATAAACCTGCCAATTCAATGGCTTTCAAAATCTATAGAATGATTCCCTTTTTATATGAGTTGAGAGTAATTATAGATTGGACATTTACTACTACAGCATTAGACTTAATTCAATGCTTTAGACTAGAAGATATTTTTGCTAATTTATACATTTGTCAAGCTTATTAAGATTCTCGTATTGAAAACCATAAATTAAGAGATCCAAGATCATCCTCAGATAAATGTTTAAATGGATGTCTTTATTCAATGTTTATTGTTTTCATCATTATCTTACCAATCTTAATTTTTAGTACTTTAAATTCTGCTGTTGAAATCAATAACATTACTAATGATAAGTTTAGTATTAAAGCGGCTTTCTTTGGTTAAGATGATAAATTATTCTTTACTTTATTTTAAGTCAATGATTTAGAATTATTAGATANAAACTTTTATGAATGCAATCTGGATTGAATTTCTATTATTTATTGCACTTTTAATACAAAGATATTTATTATAAACTTAAGGTATTTGGGATTATATGAAAATATCATTAGATTAATATTTCATCCATAATACCAATAATAATAAATAGATGATGATATTTAAAGTGAAAATCTATAAGACTCTAGTTTTAAAGAATCTATATAAGAAAGTGATGATTTTTCAGAAAATCATTAAGTATAAGAATAATAAAAAGAATAATAAACTATTATGATATCAATTTAACAATTCTTTACATCAATATGGTAATAAATGGTTAAGTACTATTATCTTTTATTTCCTCTTGCATTATCTACCATTTATATTTAATAAAAGTATGATCCAACAACTAAAAAAATGATTTAAAAGGATAGAGTTGTTCTACCAGAATAAATAAAGGTAGGTAGAGATTTCTATGCTCCTAGATTTATTATTTTTTGATTATTTTAGTCTATTTTTACTCTTCTATCCAAATATCATAGCCAAAAGATCAAAGTAGCCATTCATTTTATATTAATTATTGTTGTTCATTATTACTTCTTTTTTGTTATACCATAAAAAACTAATAAAAGTATTCTATCATTATTATTATAATTTTTAGGATTCTAAGAATCATTTTATTTAATATTTGCATACATTCTAGTTTGCATTTATTTTATTATTTCATCTGTTTAAATTCGATATGGATATCCTATCTAAAAATATACTTAAATTTTTACCGATTCTCATAAACCTGCCAATTCAATGGCTTTCAAAATCTATAGAATGATTCCCTTTTTATATGAGTTGAGAGTAATTATAGATTGGACATTTACTACTACAGCATTAGACTTAATTCAATGCTTTAGACTAGAAGATATTTTTGCTAATTTATACATTTGTCAAGCTTATTAAGATTCTCGTATTGAAAACCATAAATTAAGAGATCCAAGATCATCCTCAGATAAATGTTTAAATGGATGTCTTTATTCAATGTTTATTGTTTTCATCATTATCTTACCAATCTTAATTTTTAGTACTTTAAATTCTGCTGTTGAAATCAATAACATTACTAATGATAAGTTTAGTATTAAAGCGGCTTTCTTTGGTTAAGATGATAAATTATTCTTTACTTTATTTTAAGTCAATGATTTAGAATTATTAGATATACCTAATGAATAATTTAAAAAAATTCAAAAAATATATAGTGAAATTGAAACATCATGGTAAGAAAGAATGTAAAAAGTAAGAATAAAGAGATTTAGTGATTTAGAATGGAATCTACCTGGAAATTATATAGATTAAATAAGAAATATGATAAAATCATAAGAATATTAGGTTGAAATATAATGTGAATAGGTATTTTAAAAGAGTGATAGTTAAGGTGGTGCAAAATCATTTACAGGATAATCTATTGTATAAGCACCTGATACATTTGTGAATAATTTTGGTAAGATTTTAGCTCCAAAAGCCCCAGATGCAATATTTGACATAAAGGTGTTGGTTCCAAAATTTTTATATGTAGGAGAAGCAGAAACTCAAGCATTACGATTAGAACCAGTGAATATAAGAGAAGAGATAAGTTACTATTAAGATATTCGTTTAATTCATAAGAAAACAAGTGAATTTGTATTTTTTGAATTAGTACCAAATGATGATTCAACAGATTTGAAATAGATAGGAGGTATAGATAATTTATAATATATTAAATAGCATCATCATAGAATAGAGTTGAGTTTTTTGTTTTAAATGAATTAGCATTTAGTAGTTTAATAGGAGCATTGTCAATAAATATGTCAATTATAGGTATATATGCAACATTTGTATTGACAATTGGTAGATTTTTGAGATTTGCATATGATAAAATAAGTACAAGAGTAATATAAATTGTTTGATTTATGTTAAAATATTTATATAGCAAGAGTTGATGAAGATTTCTTTAAGGAAGAAATCTTTTATGAATTATTGATTAGGATTTATAGAAGTCCTGAAATAATATTTAAGATGACAGGTGCTTCAATATATGATAAATNCTTTTTATATGAGTTGAGAGTAATTATAGATTGGACATTTACTACTACAGCATTAGACTTAATTCAATGCTTTAGACTAGAAGATATTTTTGCTAATTTATACATTTGTCAAGCTTATTAAGATTCTCGTATTGAAAACCATAAATTAAGAGATCCAAGATCATCCTCAGATAAATGTTTAAATGGATGTCTTTATTCAATGTTTATTGTTTTCATCATTATCTTACCAATCTTAATTTTTAGTACTTTAAATTCTGCTGTTGAAATCAATAACATTACTAATGATAAGTTTAGTATTAAAGCGGCTTTCTTTGGTTAAGATGATAAATTATTCTTTACTTTATTTTAAGTCAATGATTTAGAATTATTAGATATACCTAATGAATAATTTAAAAAAATTCAAAAAATATATAGTGAAATTGAAACATCATGGTAAGAAAGAATGTAAAAAGTAAGAATAAAGAGATTTAGTGATTTAGAATGGAATCTACCTGGAAATTATATAGATTAAATAAGAAATATGATAAAATCATAAGAATATTAGGTTGAAATATAATGTGAATAGGTATTTTAAAAGAGTGATAGTTAAGGTGGTGCAAAATCATTTACAGGATAATCTATTGTATAAGCACCTGATACATTTGTGAATAATTTTGGTAAGATTTTAGCTCCAAAAGCCCCAGATGCAATATTTGACATAAAGGTGTTGGTTCCAAAATTTTTATATGTAGGAGAAGCAGAAACTCAAGCATTACGATTAGAACCAGTGAATATAAGAGAAGAGATAAGTTACTATTAAGATATTCGTTTAATTCATAAGAAAACAAGTGAATTTGTATTTTTTGAATTAGTACCAAATGATGATTCAACAGATTTGAAATAGATAGGAGGTATAGATAATTTATAATATATTAAATAGCATCATCATAGAATAGAGTTGAGTTTTTTGTTTTAAATGAATTAGCATTTAGTAGTTTAATAGGAGCATTGTCAATAAATATGTCAATTATAGGTATATATGCAACATTTGTATTGACAATTGGTAGATTTTTGAGATTTGCATATGATAAAATAAGTACAAGAGTAATATAAATTGTTTGATTTATGTTAAAATATTTATATAGCAAGAGTTGATGAAGATTTCTTTAAGGAAGAAATCTTTTATGAATTATTGATTAGGATTTATAGAAGTCCTGAAATAATATTTAAGATGACAGGTGCTTCAATATATGATAAATAAAAGAAATGATTTTAATTAATATATCTATATATATATTTATTTCATAATTAAAATGAGTTCAGGAAGTGAAAAATTAGATTAAGTACATCAACATCATTTGATGGCACCATTAAAACCTTTTTTTCCTAATTAAAATTTGGAAGATAAAAGAATTAAAACAGCAGCTAGAGAATTTCATGATTTCTTAAAAGAAGCAATAGATGAAGAACATCAACATTTACTTAATACTGATTAATCAATTATTAATGATGAGATAATTAAGATGCCATTACCAGAAACTAAGGCAGAAATTAAAGAATTGATATATGAATTAAAAAGAATACAAAGTGAAGAAGAATAGCTGTTATTACATTTTATAGGATAAGCTAAATAATTAGATAATAATGATAAAACTACTCCAAAAAGACTAAAAGATTTCTTTGAAGGATTTTATTATGAAGTTATGATTAGAAGTAATGATAAAAAGAAATTATATGACAAAGTTTTATTAAGAGAAGAATAATTGTAATTATCATTTAAATATCAAGATAGAAGCACTTATCCTTATTAGAAATTAATATGACTAAAATTGAAAAGAATTATGAATCTATCAAAAAATGGCATGAAATTAGATCATTGAGATAAACTGGGTAATTATTTTTATTCATTTTTTTAAGGAGATATAAAAATAGTACTACAAAAATCTAAAAGATACAGATTCCTAATAATGTTTCAATATAAGCTTTGAGTTAGGATTTTCTTACTAAAAATGTGAATATTCAACATCATGAATAATAATCTGTATTACATGAAGATGTTATGACTAAACCAAATGCAATTACATCAGGATATAATTTAGAATATAAACCTATATAATTTAAAGAATTATAATAAGATTTGAAAGAGATTGAAATTGATGAGACAAGTGTATATGATTGGATTGTTGACATTGATTTAATAACTACTATTGCTAAAAATGGTTGGAGAGTATATTTGTCTAAGAAATTTGCAGATGCATAAGTAAAATAAGAATCTGAAATACCAAATTATGGATTCAGTAAATAATAACATAAAGCATAATGGGAAGGTGCAGCTGTTGCAGTTGTTGGATTATATGATAAAGGAAAAACATTTGTACTTAATAATCTTACTTCTTCAAATTTACCATCAGGCAAAAAGGTAACTACTAAAGGGGTTTCATTTAAACATGTGAATGTAGATTCAGGTACATAGTTGATTCTTGTTGATACTGCAGGTAGTTATTCACCTGTTAAAATTACAAATGAATTAAGTATTGTTGAAAAAGAAGCAACTGAAATGTTTATTACTGATCTAGTTTTTGAAATATCAGATTATTTTATATGTGTAGTTAATGACTTTACTAGTCTTGATTAAAGATATTTAGATAGATTAAGTAGAAATCTATAGAATTCTCCTAATAAAACATTTAGAGAAATTATTGTTATACATAATCTTAAGGAAGTTGAATCACCTGAAATATTAGAACATGTTTGGAGTACTTAAGTTACTTAAATTTATTAAAATGGATCAATTTAAAGAACTAAAGTAGCATCAATAAATCCCACTAATAATTAATTATAAGAAAAACATGTATTATGGTTCAAAACTGAATTCACTAGACATGTTTGTTTAGTTAATGATGATTCTTATTTAGGAATGTCAATCAATCCATGGGTTTTCTCATTATTAAGATATTGGTTAAAAGCAGTATTTGTTCCTGTAAATAGATAATTCTCTGTTGTTGATAGTATCATTCAATTTAGTAAGGTAATTAAATAATTAATTTTAATTAGACTAAATTATCATCTTATTTTAGAACTATACTTACACTATAAATTTAAGATACTGATGATTTCTTAGTTAAAACTATTGTCACTTAATAAGAAGTTTAAGATAGTAATGTTAGAATACCTTAAGTTTCTATTGATTCTAGTGGTTTAATTATGACTAGACCAGATAGTTTCTTACCTAATACTGATATTATTGCTACTGATTAGTATATTATATACATGGATGTACCAGGATTAACCAAAAATGAAATTCTTGTTTATCGTTAAAATGTTGTTACTATTATTAAAGGAATACGTAAAAGACCTTATGATGTATTTCTATTTATTTAGTTTTTATAAGTCTGAAAAACTAGAACGAAGTGAACGTAAGTATGGAGAATTTGCACTCTCATTCAAAATTCCTGAAATATATGAAAGAAAATGGAGTACTTTTACAGTTGAAAATGGAGTTTTGACAATTGTTTATGAAAAAGATAAAGATGATTAAATTGTCAGATAAAAAAAATAAGAGTGATATAATATTAATTATATATATATATATATATATATGATATTTTGTATCACATTAATTAATTAACTAAATTTGAATAACCCATCATGTTTTCATTATTAAAATCAATGAATTGATTCTATTATTAAAAAATATAATAAATACATTTGAAAAATTAAAATTTGGTAATTCTGGCATAAAATTTGGTTTTATTACCGACTTTTAAGGTTATTGTACCTTCTTTATATTATAATTTATTAATTTCTTTCCTTTACTTAATCCATACAATCTATATTCATCATAAATTTTTATCAATAATTATTCAACTAATTGACAAGCCTTTTTTGTAAATATTATTATTACTCTAAGAAAGAGATGATTATGTTTTGAAGATACACATAAATGTAAAGGTTCTTAAGATTCCCTTTTTTCAGGTCCTTCTTTATAACCGGACCCTCTTCCTCTTAATCTTAATTTTACTAAATCTTATTCTTTTGTATCACAATCAAATAGACATTAATCTATTATTTTTTTCATGTTACATCCTTTCGCTCCTAAGAAGTATATTTCATTTAAATACCAATAATTTTACGAGCTACTTGAAAATCTTTATCATTATCAATTTAAACATCATATCTACAAGTAAATTTTTGTTGATTTGAATCTTAAAATTCCATTATCTCTAAAAGATCTTATTGACTAGTGAATTCTATTTTTATAGTGACATCTAATTCTTTGATTTAATGTTTATTTAAAAGTTTATAAACAATGAAAGCATCAAAAACTGAATTGAATTTAATAATGATAGCACCATTTACTTTTGTATAGACTTATTTAACTTCTCCAAAATTTTCACAAACCTTAGTTTTGAACATAAAATTCTCGTTACTTATTTAATATCATCTTAATCGAGTTCAATTTCATAATTGTCTTCGCTTGATAATTCTACAGTTAAATATTAATGTGGATATAGTCTGCTCTATGTTTAGGATTATTTAAATTTACTTTTTATTTTAACATAGCACTTATTCTCTATTTAACTTTGTAATCATGAATAATAAGATTAATTTGTTCCCTATTAGTAGGTGAAGCATTGATTAAACTATCATCAGTCTATTCTAGCTATAAAGTAAAGATGATAATATACAAGGAAATTCGTCATGTCTTCAATTTGTTATGAGATCTCTTGAAAACTCATTAATTATTCTGTTAAAATAATATATTTTGTATTATTCATATGATATCTTGACTTTATAATTGTTTTTCAAATGGAATATTTTTATATTTTGGAACAGAAAGACGTCTACAAATTCTTTATTGATAAGAATATTAAGGTGTTTTAGCACCAGAACGAGGTCTATATAAAGTTGTATATGAATATAATTACCTTGTTCTATCAGGTGTTCTCAATCCTTATTTAAATGAGACTAACCAATGACTATCTGCTTATGTATTCATTAATCCACCATGACAATCTCTATTAACATTTTTATAATAAATACTATTTACAAAATATAATTATCTCTTCCACTTCCATTACTAATATAATGTAAAGTCTTATTGCTTGATTAAGGTCTATAAATTTTAGTTGATTTTTTAGGTATAAAACTACCAACAGGTGCTTAATGACATCTCTAAGCATGTAATGTTAATCCACCGTTATCAAATTGAACATAAGTATCACGACCTTTATTATATTTAATATTCTTTAATACCTGTTCCATCACTATAATAAAAATTAGCTTTAGCATATTAAGCTTCTGTTTTAATGTTTCCACTCTTCATTAATTAATTATTAAGTAAAAATACTATTATAAATAAATTATCATTTAATTTCAATATTCTTATCTTCTCTTTGCATATTTAATTATTCCTGTAATAATTAACATTCTTCTACTAAATTATACTTTTATATATATTATAAATTTATTACAATCTATTATTAGCATTTCTTATGAACTTCATCATCTTATATTTAACTAATGTTATCAAAAAATGAATCATCTCCATACAAAATTTCTTATCTTAATGAAAAGTTTAATATATTCAAACTATGTTACTCTGATTAATCCTAGTCTAAATCATTTAAACTCAATCTTTAAGGCATTTTTTATTTTATTTCTTAAAGTTATTATACTAATTTCTTGCATTCCATTTCATAATGCATAGCTTTTTACTATTATTATAAATTATATATATTTACTTCTGATTTATCAACAATCTATTGGTATTATTATAAATTGAATTTTGTATCATCAATGCATTTTTATTATTTTTCAGCTTATAATAATTTATTTTATAATTCCCCAATCTTTTTTCTATAATCATTAACATTTTATCTTTATTATTCAGTCAATAATGATTTCATAGATTGCATAGTCAAATTAACTCTATTATGTAAGAATTCTTGCATAAGTCCATCTAACAATTATGAATACGCCTCTATTGATTTAATATCTTATAAATTATTATTTTATTTCTTCTATTCATTTTATTTTAACTCCTTTATTTTTATAAGAATATCTCCTTCTCCATCAAATTCATTCTATATTTTCTTATATTTATCTCTAATATCCATTAATCCTACTATTTCATTACTTATAACTTAAATTTACTTTTCTACATCTTCTTCTTCATCTTCTGTTAATAATTCAGAGTATAATTAAAATATTAATGTGGAATATTAAGATTATTTGTCTAATAATTCCTAAAATTCATTCTTTATTTAAGCTAAAGCATTTATTACATTCTCCTCATTCACTTCTTATATAGATAATTCCTGTTATAATATTTAATTTATTTTACTCTGTTCCTCATATTCAATACGATTCTTTTCTCCTATCTCAAATATTTTTAATCTATATTCATTCTCTCTCTTTCTTAATTATTCTAATAAATCATTATTCTCTTCTTAAAACTCATTTAATCTCATAAACAATTCTTTATTTTCATTCTCTAATTCATTCATTTTACTATCTAATTCTTATTTCTAATTTTATTATTCCAAATAACTATTTTGTAACTAAATATTTTTTATTTCTGAATCTTATTATATCCTTTCTATATTGGTTCTCATTTAATGAATCTTTAAGTTTTATTATGACTTTTCTTCCATTGTTTTAGCTAATTCTTCATTTAATTATAACACTTATTATTAATATTATTCAATTAAAACTCCCTATTCTAATAATTCTTTTTCTCTGCATTAAAATTAATCATCTAATTATTGATAAGTTGTCTATTATGTTTTAATTATATCTATCAAATTCTCATTCTTTTCTTACAATTCCTCTCTTCCTTTCTCATTCTCTATTTATGATTTTTCCATTTATTATATCTAATACATCAATTCAACTTATAAATTTGAAGTTTTACTTAAAGCATTTAGTTTTTCATTGTTATCTTACTCTAATTTGATTAATGAATTTTACTAATTATTTAATAGCTCTAATTAATTTTAAATCTATTATTCATAATCTTTTATTTGAATTTATAATTTATCCATTTCATCTTATTACTACTTATTTTCATTTTTTATTTTATTTATAATTTCATATTGTCTACATACTGAATCTTCAAGATCTTTTATAAGTTAATTTTTATTTTCAATTTCTTCATTTAAATATTTAATTTAATTTGACTAATCATCTATTTTATTCTATTTTTATATCTACTCATTTTTAATCAAAAGTAATTCATTTTAATTTTTCTCCAATTCTTATTATTTCTTATTGAATAAATCTTACTATTATTATATAATCTCACTTTATTGTAAACTCATTTTACTTTCAAGATCTTTCACTTAAGTTTTAAATTACCTAATTAATGAATCTTATTCATTGATCTTTTATGTTAAGTTGTTTATTGATTTTTAATTTTATTCTTATTATTATGATATTTATGATTGCAATTCTTTATTTTAATCTTTATAAAGGGATGTTTCTTTTGAAACTAACATCAATTTTCCATTTAGTTCTTCATTATGAAAAACTTCATCATTTAATAATTTATCAATAGAATCAATTTCTTATTATTTCTATTTTAATGATTCTTTCAATTTTAATATCTCTTAATCTTTTATTTATTCAGAATCAATTAATTTTAGTTAATCTTATTCTATTTATTTGGCCTTTAAACTTGTTTGTTTTAGTTAATCATTCAGTTTACTTACTTCTTACTTATAATTTATCTCTATTATTCTTATTTTTTCATCTTTCTATAATAGTTATTCTTTCCATTTTTATTATTCATTTTGAGATTCTTATTATAAAGTCTCTAACTATTGAATTAATTATCTATATAGTTATTAATTGGATTAAGATTATTAATAGATATCCTTATTTTTTTATTCTAATTATATTATTTTGTTTTCGAATACTCCAATTTATTCTATCAAATTTTATTTTTCTTCTTCCTTTCTTTAAATTTATTGTTCCATTTACTAGTTAACTTGATTTACTAATTTTTCTTTTTATTATAAAACTTAATCAAAATTATTCTAATTAATTTATATCTAATTTTAGTACTATTTTATATCATTTTAATATTAATCTCTTTCTTACAAGATTTATTATTACAATTCCTGGATTTATTTATTTGTTTCAAATATTCTAGATTCTGTTTCCAAACTATTTTATTCTTAAACCTTTTAGCATTAATTTTTCAATTTTTATAATTCTATTTCATATTACTTTTATTCATTCAATAACTAAGATTGTAAATTTTAAATTGTTTTTTAATTTTGTTCAATAACATTATTAAGCTCTTTAGATTACAATATTAATTATTCAATTTTAGCTTAGTTCTCACATAAAGTTAGATTTGATTGTTCTATTAACGTATTTTTTTCCATTAACTTCTTATCAAATGCTTCAATATTAGATTTTAATTAGTTTATGAGATTTGATTAATCTTATATTGTTTTATTTAATTCTGATTAGTTTTATTTATTAACAATTTCTTGTTATTCTATTTATTTTTTATATTTGAAGCATTCTTATTAAGAATCTTGATATAATATTTATTAATTTTAAATAAGTTCTTATTATTCAAGTACTACTTATTTAGTTTAATTTAATTCTAGTGCTTATAATTCATACTAGTTCTTCATAGATTACATTGATTCACTATTATTCTACAATAATGCTTCATTTTCTAAGTTGACTTTCTGTAATTAAGCTTAAGATTCATGCAATAATTTTTTCTATTCTCCAATGATAATCTGATTTTATTCATTGAGTTTTTCAAAAGATGATATTTTTTATTATAAAATATCCTAAGATTATTTTTATTGATCTTGTAATGTTTTTATTTGTTTTTGATTATCATTTGTTTATTTATGCACTTCTTTCTTAAGTTTGGAAATAGTTTCATCTTAATTTCTTCTTTCTTCTTCTGTTTATTAATACTTTTCTGAAAGATCCCTGATTTCAGATAATTGTTTTTCAGATAATTTAATAAACTCATTAATTTTTTATTCATAATGTTCTTAATTCTTTTAAAAATCTTTTTTCATTAATTTAATCATATCCTAATCTTATTATTATTAAGAATAGAACTCTACATTTTATGATTAAATTGCTTTATATTCTTCTTCCAAAGCTTAATGCTCTATTTCTTTATTAGATATAATTTCTTATAATTTTTTAATCTTTTCTTAATTTAAAAGATTATCTTTTATATTTTTATCTTTAATAATTTATTCAGCCTCTTTTAATAATTATATTTAATTATCAGATTACTCTATTTAACTGTGAAGATCAATAATTAATTGATGGAGTCTTGTTATTTCTGATTTATTTTATTCAATTATTGTTTAAAGACTTTCCTCTTATTAAGTAGATTTTAATTAGTTTTATAAAATAACTTAATTTAATCTCTCTATTTCTTTTTTTAATTAACAAATTTGTGTTTATTATTCATTATAAGTTAATTTAAGATCTTATGATTTAGTTATATCTTCTTTTAGTTTTTTTGTTTACTCATTTAAATTTATAATTTCCTATTACTTATTTTGTAATGCTGAAACACTGATTTGAGTTTATCTGTTAAATTCAACTGATAAACTTTCATTTTTTAGTAATAATTCTTTATTTGTATTTGAAAGTTAATCATAAAGTTCTTTATAATTTTTGATTTATAAATCATAATTTGAAAATTCTAACTTAAATTTACTTTATAATTCTTCAATTTATTATTTTGTTTTAATATGTGTGTTATTTAATTCTTTATTAATAATTAATATTTCCTCAGATTAATTGAATAACTTATCATTAATAGCATCTAGTAAACCCTTGAAATCATTTTATTTATGAATTATTTTATTATTTTAGATAATTTCTTTTAATCTCATTACAAGTGTTTCTTAGAATTATTAAAATTCGTATTATTCTGATTCTCTTTAATTAATGATTTCTTAGATTTCTCCCAATTATTTAAGCCATTTTGCTATACTATCACCAATAACTCCTTAAAATTGATAAGCATCTTGGAATTTTAATGCTGAGTGATGACCAATCTTATTTAAATATTAATAATAAGATTTAATATTAGTTTCTAATTCTGATATTGCTTATCTAAGAGTTGATATTTATTTTTAACATGTTAAATCAATTTCTAAAAACTTCTTCCATAGATCTTAATTGTTCTCACATATTTAAGCAGAATATTTGATAATCTCTTCTTTCTATTCACACATAAGCTTAAAGGATTCTTTGTAATAGTGATGAGTAGTTACTTAATGAATTTTATATGAGGGTGTTTTTCTCATTTTCAGCATCTCCATTTAGACTATTGTTCCTTGATAGATTTTCAATAGCTTCATAGTTCTTTTAATCTAGATCCTTAATCAAAGATAATAACATTGGTTCATAAGTTTCAGGAATATTTTCTTTGTTTTTTGGATATGCACCATTTAATATTTCATTTAATTCATTTTTTTTGGAAAATGATGTTTTTGCACTTTTCTTACCTGATTTATATAATTCTAATTCTTTTTCACTTTTATCTAATAATTAATATAATTTCTTAATACAAACTTTTCTACTCTTTAAATTATAAAAATAATTTACTTCAGCTTTTTTTTCAGCCTTTTGTAATTGCATCTTTAATTAGGCCAGATTTGATAATGATTGTGAATTAATGTTTTCACTAACTCTTTTTCTTAAAGTATCGTTTTCTTATTTAAACTTTTCTAATTATACTGCTAATGAATCTGCTGATTCTAAAACATCCTAATTTATTAATTATATTTATTTATTACCATTCTCATTTCTACTTGTGTTCTAATCTACATATAATTTCTAATGATCTTATCATCAGTATTATTTTCAATTGCATTATTTGCTGCTCTAATTAAATTAAAAATTAAGCCAGGTTCTCTAGGAGATTATAACTTTAACTAAGGTGAAAGAGGTAGCTTTTTTTAACTTCCTGGCGATGATATACTCATCAAATCTACTTTCTTTTATTCGCATTATTTAAATTTATATTTCTCTCTACTTTAACTCTATTATCTAGGTCTTTATCCAATTTACAAAGATGACCTTGCAGTTAATTCATAAACTGAAAGAAGAAGATCTGCATTATTTTAATTGTTATTTCGCCTAATTTATTCAGTGGTTTACCTTTACTCAAGAGTTCGTTGCATTTTATGTTTTGAATTCAAAAATATTAATTATATACAATATTTGTTAAAATAAAAATTAACTATATTTGTTTGAATATTCAATGAAAATGTAAAAATCATCTGATGAACTATTAAAAATACTTCTATTTATCCATTGCTTATAATTCAGCCATAAATTGATCAAATTATTCCACTTTCTATAATAAAGTTTCTTCATCTATTTCACTTTCTTATGATATCTTATACATTTCTTAAATCTCTTAAGCTAAAGTGCAATTTTTCATGAATTTCTCTAATTTTTATTAATATTTATTTCTATAAAAGGCATCCTTATTTTTATTATTTGCTTTTAAAGAAATTGCAATAAACTTCAAAACTGTTTCTTTACAAGATAATGTTGGGTATTTAGGTTTCTAATATCCCAATTAAGCCAAAACTCTAATAATTATATTTTTGAGATGTAATTCCAAATAAGATGTACAATCACCTCTTTTTGCAACTTTCTTAGCAATATTCTAATATATAATTATTTAATATACCTTAACAGATTATAATTCTCCTAATTACATTTTATCTGGTAATCTAGCATGTTTATATCTTTAAGGATTCATTTCAAATAACTACATATTATGTGCATTAGCAAATATTAATTGTTAATTTTTATGAACAATTACTAAGTTATTAAAACCCTTAACTAAATTATTATTAATTAATTCAACTGGGCAATGACCTAAAATATCATTTATAATATTAAATACCCTTGTATTCTGGAAATGGATCAAATTTATCCCCAACAGTTAATTGTTTAGGTATTTTATATTTTTCAATTGAATTATTGCAATAATGAGTAGGATTCTTAATGAAATCTTATTCTGTATCTTCACTTGATACATAGAATAATTAATCATCATAAAATAATAAATATGGACTTCTTAATTAACTGGCGACATAATTCTTTTTTGCTTTTATCAATACAGGACAATAATTATATAAAGGACTTAACTTTTAAATAATTTATTATTCAGTCAAAGTTAATGAACTTACTCTAACTGGTTCTTGAGTTATTAATGATCGAGCAACTAATGCTCTCGAGTATAGATTTTGTTAGATACATTTAGTACATAATGAAATCATACCCCAATTCGATACTTATCCAACTTATAAATATCTAACATTATTGAAATTTGATGAATAATATGATGCTAATAATGAAGTTTAATTAGCTTATAATCTTTAATGAACTACATGATCAATACCTCCAAATTTAGGATTTAATTTACTAATTACATACTCATCATCTTTATCACAAACAAATACTACTGTTGGTATAATACCTACTTTTGATAATGCTAAAGCTTCATCAATAGTTCTTGGATATCCATCTAAAATATATCCTTAATTATAAACATCAGCCAACTAAATTCTTTTTTATATTATTTAAATGAGATAATTAGTATCTACTTCTTTACCTTCTTTTAATTAATTTTTGATATTCACTGCCAATAAATCAGTTTAATTTGTTACAAATTCAGCTAACAAATGAGACACTTTGACTCTCACTAGATTCAATTTTTCACTTAATAATCTCACTATTTCAGTTTTACCTGATTTTACTTTTCCTAAAATAAAAATAGTAGGTTTGATTTAAACATCATTTGGAACTGTAGGTTTATAAAAGTATTTATATGGTTTTGAACAAACCTATTCTCTTTAATCCTCATTATCAAGATAATAAATTCTATTTCTATATAAAACTGGATAATCCCTACAATGAGGAACATTTTATAAAGTGGTAGCATTTCTATTTCCATATTTAGATTATTTATGAGTATATAATTTTTCATAGATATCTAATTTATTTAATTTGAAATTGGTTGGATCAGGATATAAATTTAATTTTTAACATTATTCTTTTTCTAACATATTTTCTCTATATTCTCTATCCATAACATTTTCTAATTATGATGTAATTCTTTCAGTAACATTTTCGATAGTAGTATCAGTACTAAGTATTACAGCATTTATTTTAAGTTCTTCAAATTATCTTTATAATTCTTCAATCCTTGCCATATCAGCTTCATGTTATTATAATAATTTATCTTTTTATTCTTTTAACATTTCATCTAATTTAGGTGCTTCTGGATCTTCTTCTTCTCCTGTAGGTGCTTCTAAAGATGGTAATTCTTCTGCTCCTTCTTCAATAGCTTTATTTCTTGCTTCAACTCTTTCTTAATATCTTTTTTATCTTAATTCTTCCATTTTCATTTAATATTCATCTTCTATAACTTTTGAATTGAAATTTCTTTTTATAAAATTTTCAGGTTCAATTTTCAATAAAATAACATATTCAGGTAACTTTTTGGCTTCAACTAATAAATCAACAATTGGAGTTGAAACAAGTTCTTCTGAAACATCAAAGAAATTAGCATTTATAATAACACCTGCGCAATCTAAAATCTTATTTAATACTTCAATTTCATGAGCTTTACGATCAAAATCAGCAGGATCTTCTGTTATTTCAGGATCTGGTATTTCTTTTCCATCAGCATCTAATTCTTTAGGTTTAAATCCTTTCATATAATATCTATTTAATTATCTATTCTTCTTATTTATTTCTAAACTTTAAATTAAATTAGCTTTTAAATCTAAAATAGGTAACTTATATAATCTATTTAATATTTTTAATTAAGTATGTAAACCACTACCTCTAACACCAATAAACATAATTCTTGGTTATGGTATTGTAATTTTAGATGGAACAAATAATTAAACATTATCTTTAAATATTTATTATTCTTTTTCTCCATAAAATCTATAAACTCTTCCTCTTACTAAAGCTATAAATTCTTCTTTTCCAGGTACTAACCAATTAGTTTTTTATAATGTAACAGGACAATAATTAGCATAATCACCATAAGGAATAGGTTCTTCACCTTCTTATACATCTCCTGGCACTCTTACCAATCCTTCATCATCAACTTTAATATAAAATGGATCTAATGCTAAACGTACTCTAGACCAAACTTCATCTTTGGTTCCATCAATAGGAATTTCTTTAACATTTTCTTCTTAATAAGTTTCTTTTATTAATGCAGATAATGCATTAATTTAATTTAATTCTTATTCAATTATAATATCAGGATTACGTTACAATAGTATTTATCCAGGTTCTTCTGATCTATCTTATAATATTAAGAATTTATCTATTTTAATTCCCCATAAATTTAATTAATCTATTTATTCTTATGTTTAAGGATATCCAATAATTACAATTCCTTTAGGTTTTGATGTTTCAGCTATTTTTAATTCAGCATCTAATAATGGAATAATTTCTTTAGTGGGTACATCTTCAGGAGGAGGCGTAACAGGTTTAACATTATCTTCAACTACTTCAACAACTTCTTCTTTTTTCTTTTTTGCTTATTGTTTTTTTGCTTCTTTCTTCTTTTTTTCTTCATCTTCTTCTTGTGGTTATTCTTCTTCCTCTTTCTTTGGTTCTCCCCATCCTGTAGGTTTTCTTTATAAAGGTATATTTAAATAATTCAAAACCATTGGTAATACATCTTTTATGACATTACCTTTATAGAATTCTTTCCATTCTATTTCAGTTAAATGAATATCATTTATTCTTGGATCAAATGTAGATTGTAAATGCTTACTTCTTTCTTATTATGCTTATACTTTCTTTCTTATTATATCTTCTACATCAACTAAAGTCCAACCATAAAATTCTGCTAATTAACTAGCAACTGTATTCTTTCCTGAACATTTTGGTCCTTAAACTGATACAATATAAGTTTTAGGTAATTAAGGAGCTTTACACAAATATTTTCTAGGATAATTTATAAATTTATTTTAATTTTCTTCATTATCAAATAAAAAAACTCTTCCAGCATATTCACATGCAAATTCTGCTTTACCTGCTATAATCTTATCTTTTAATACTAATTCAACTGCATCAACCTATTACCATTATGACCACATTCTATAAACCTTTTCATCAGTTAAATTTAATCCTAACAAATCCTTTTCTGAACCACCTTCTAATTTTATAGCTAATGGTCTTAGTGGTTATCCTTTCAAAATTTATGTAAATACACGATCAACTAATTATTAAGTTGTTAAACCAGCAGATTAAAGTTTTATTATATTCTAATCAGGTAAATGATCATATAATGATAATAATTTTTATTATGATTCTTTAAAATTTGATAATGATTATACTAGAAATTCTTAATCTAAAGGTCTATAAAATAAATCTTTTTCTGGAATAATAGGTGGTTTATCTTCTTCATCTTAATTTTCTCCTTAATCTTCCTCTTCATCAGGATCATTTGGATCTTTGTATTTAATTTTTGGTCTTTTTTATTCTTCTCTATCAAATTATGATGTTGCAACTAAATCATCTTATTTTTCCATAATTCTAGATGCAAAATGTAATATATCTTCATCTGATTAATCTAAATTGACAACATGAGTAAAATATCTACATCCAATTTTAGGTAGATTCATTTTGTTTGATAATATTGAATTAACCCAAAATATATTCTCTAAAGGTAAATCTAAAATATATCCTTTATTTTTAGGTAAATCTTATTGTAATTCAACATTAAATAATTATTCCAATTATTCTTAAGTCAATTCTCTTCCAAATCTTAAAGAATCAAAAACTTCTCTCTCTAAAGGATTCAAAAATTCTTTTGGATTCCCTTCTTCATCCATTTATGGACTATTTTCATTTTCTGATACTTTTGCATAAATTCTTTAAATTCCTTTTTCTAAATCTAAATATTCTAAATCAAGTTATTTAGCTAAAGCCTTAGCAAATGTACTCCTTCCACTTCTTGGTTTAGCAATCAAAAATATTTAAGGAGGTGCTTAATTTGCATATTCTATAACATCATCTTCATAAGGATTTTTACTATCTATTGGTAATTATCCTTTTGGTGAAATGAATTTACTTAAATATGATTAAAATGTAGGTAATTATATATTTTGTTACTATTCTTAGATAACTTCTAATGCAGATAATAATTATTATTAATCTTTAGGTTAATTTAAATCACCTAAAAAGGTTCTTAAGATAAATTGAATATTCTTAGGTTATCTTTTATCTGGGTTAGATGATTTACTTATATCAAAAGTTTATAATTAAGAAGTCAATAATTATCTTTTAGCTGAAACTATTTTTCTTTCCCATTTTTTATTCACTTTATTTATTTAATCAATTCTATAATCTTCTTCTGTGAAGAATTCGCTTTTTATATTTATTAATAATTTATTTCCATCTTAATTCTTTAATGGAAATTAACACCATTAAACATCTCTTGTAATTAACTTGTTTAATTTATAATATTGAGAATGAAATCCATAAGAATCATCATTCTATTCTATTAAATATTGCAATCCTATTTCTGGAACTAATTAACTATTAGGTAATGTCATAAGGAATGTTTCAGTAACATTACCAATTAACTTAATTTCCTTAGCAAATGCATATTATGCTGATGTATAATGTTAATATTCACTCTCTTGACAATTATTATTCATTAAAGCAAATATCATGCATTCACAGCTCATACCTATAGGAATAATTTCATTAAGAGGTGCTAATTTATATTTTATAATTCTGCTTGGTATAATATCAGCACTCTTTAATTACTCAGGATTATATATATATTGTTCTGTATAATAAATAGGAAAGTAAGACTTTTTATTATCACTTTTCAAACTCTGTTCTACTCTATCTGTGCTATGAATTTTTACAAGAATATGATAATCAATTTCTTAATTTGTATTGTCTAATCATCATAACATGCCATTACCTTTAACATCTATCAATGAACGACGATATATTCGAGCATGAATTGTTTTCAAAAGGTATATTGCAGAACTCAAATCTGGTTGATTTATCAATTAAAACAATAATTAAGTTATTGCATCTACAAATACCTGATAAGATAAGTATTCAGGTAGATTTGGATCAACATCTGTCATTGATTCTAAATACTATTATGATAACTGTTTCAAACTTTCATCTGGCAAACATATTATACACTTCATTATTGCTGTAATAACCTATAATACCAATAGAAATTCACCTCTAACAACTCACTTGACAATACTTTTCCTTATGGATTCTTTCCAATCTAATCCCAATATTTCAACAAATTCTTTTGATACTCTAAATTCTCACTTAAGCTAACAATAAATTTCACACTCTAATTATCTCCTCTCTATAACCTATCTGTGTTGTATAAATATCAAACATTTACTTTTGTAAAAGAGTGGATTTTACATATTTTTATTAATTTAATATTTATATTGGAACAATATAATCAAAGGCTTAAAAATTATAATCCTGATTGGGAATCAAAAAAAAACAAATAAAACAATATTGCATTCCTAATTAACAATAAAAATCCCTTATCAATTAATCTATTAACAGATACCTTTAAAAATTAATTTAATTATGAAACACTTATTTCCGAAATCTTTCGAAGTATGATTTAAAAACTAATAGAAGACTTAAAACACTTTAAAACTTAATTGTATACACATCAATAAACACTCATTATTTCTAATAAAGATTGTAGATTATTATCTAAAATACTTATTATAGAAATTAATTGATTATATGTTATTATTACTAATTTAATTTAATATATACTAGATTTATTAATATTAAAATACTAATAAAATTACTTTAAAGACTTTAGTTAGAATCATAAATACAGAAATTACCAGAGTATAACAGAAAATCATAGAGATTTACTAAGTAAATTCTAATAAATTAAATAATGGAAATACAATTCACAAAATTTATATTTATCCAATTCTAAATTGTAGTATCATTTTTAAATAGTATTTTTAGGATAAGACCAAAGTACAGATAGAACAAGAATGATTATTGTTAGTTAATCTAAAACTACAATTTTATCTAAAATTAATACAAATTTACTCCAAATTTTCAATTCAACATTATACTAATTAACTCTTAATTTACACAGACCTACCTTAATTTTATTAAATAACCTGATTTAATTTAAGAAATAAAAATAGCTTTTTTAAAAATTCAAATACAACTATTTACTATGAAGTATTAAGCCTAGTAACTCATAAAAAATAAATAAAATTAAGATTACCAAGAAAAATATAGGATCATTACGATTTGTCCTATTTGTTTATGTTATACATAAAATATTCATTCAAAATTTAAAATTCAATTTGAATGGAATTATATAATGAAAATAGCTTTGAAAAATGATTTGATTTTCATTTATTCAATTAGATTGATTAAGTTTGTTATAATTCTATGGGATTAGATTTATAATTTTGCTTGATTTGACATAAAAAATTATCATATTATTTTCTAAAAAATTATTATAAGATAAATAAAAAATAATGTATTTATGAAATAATAATTTTCTATTAATCACAAGTACAATGTATAATATATCCATAATTGAAACTATTTGACATTCCGAAAATTGAATTCGCTTCTAAGGAGAACTTAATTTTAGTATAATATTTTTACTCTTCCTTTAATCTATTATTAAAGAAATCCTATATAAAATATAAAGTTTGAAGTAAAAGGCAACAGAGAAGAATATCATACTGGTGCAAAAATAATTATTTCATATATGATTAAAAAATCTAAATTTTATTGTTATAAATTTCTCTGTATTTTCAATTCTTATTTTTGATGAGATAAATATATTGTTAATGTAGATATTTGTATCCCGATTAGTACACAATCAACTCCAACTGAAATTAGGAGAAATTTTTCTTAAATTTTTAATGATATAAAATACCTTATTTATTTGGGGAGTAAATTTCATCAATAGCTCATAAGTGAAGGAAATCAATTAAGCTTGTAAAATTATGATTATAGCAAATATCATTTACGATTTAGTTCCTAATATTTTATAATAAGTTTTACTTTTTAACATGATTAGAGTCTAGTCATGATACAATTATATTTCTACTTTAATAATAATCTCAATTTAAGAAAAAAAAACAAATCAGTAAACATCAATTTCATTATTTGGATAATCAAATAATATATCCAATAAATTAAGCAATTAAACTAACAAAAGGCTAAATAAAATCAATGAAGAGAGCCTTAAAACCTATTTATTACTCAATAGTAAATGCTTAATCTTTAATAAATCTGAAGAATGTTCATTTGATTTAATATAATTTAGATTAACAATCATTACATCGATTGTTGTTATTAATTATTCAAAATAACTTATTAATCTGTTAATAATTGTTCTAGTCTAACTTGATTATTTCTCAATGTATCCATAATTTATTTTAAAAATTAATTCTTTTTCTAATAGTTTAATTTTTAAGAAGAACTGTATTCTGTATACATTTTATCCTAAACTAATCCATTGTTGTTTTATTTTAATAAACTGTTCATATTTAAAATTATCTTATCTAAAATGAAAACTACAATATGCACAAATTGTTTGAATTGAAGGGAAATTTAATTAGGAAAAGCTATAATAATTTATAAAAACAACTCTCAAAATTATCAAAAACTTAATATTCTATTTGGAGATTCTAGTGAGAAGACATTATCAAATTATTAGTTATTAATTTTTCAGGTAATCTCATCTCTATTAGCAATTAAATGATCAATATAAAATTCTTGATACTGATATGAATCATCATTTATTCCAGAATTAAAGGATATTTTTATTAATAAAAATGGACTCTTAATTTAATTTAATTCACTACTTAAAGTTAAAATAAGAATTTTATTTACATCTTTTATAAAGGATTTTGAGTCGAGGTAAATAAAAAATAAGATTAAAAAATAATTTAAATAAATCATAATAATATAGTTTTATATATTAAATTACTGATTAAATACTTATTTAAATAAGTAATTATATTGATTCTAAGTATATTTTGATGATATAAACATATAAAATATTTGCCACAGGATAAAGATTTTAATTTTTTATATAATAAGAATTGGTAAATGACATAGTAAACAAAAATATTTAAATATAAGTGGAAAAATAAATTAACTATTTAACCAATATATTATAGAATTAAAACAAATTAATAATATTATATATTTGAAAAATTAGGAACAAGAAATTAATATCCTTAGTTCTAATTGCATAACCAATCCTTTAACATTCAGAAATGATTTCTTACATGTAACATCATAAATCCAGGAATGCCACAAAGCAACAATGGTTTATAAAGTAAAATATTTTATAATAGACAATTCATTTAGAGAAATGTATTTAAAATTTTTTTGATANGTTGTTATTAATTATTCAAAATAACTTATTAATCTGTTAATAATTGTTCTAGTCTAACTTGATTATTTCTCAATGTATCCATAATTTATTTTAAAAATTAATTCTTTTTCTAATAGTTTAATTTTTAAGAAGAACTGTATTCTGTATACATTTTATCCTAAACTAATCCATTGTTGTTTTATTTTAATAAACTGTTCATATTTAAAATTATCTTATCTAAAATGAAAACTACAATATGCACAAATTGTTTGAATTGAAGGGAAATTTAATTAGGAAAAGCTATAATAATTTATAAAAACAACTCTCAAAATTATCAAAAACTTAATATTCTATTTGGAGATTCTAGTGAGAAGACATTATCAAATTATTAGTTATTAATTTTTCAGGTAATCTCATCTCTATTAGCAATTAAATGATCAATATAAAATTCTTGATACTGATATGAATCATCATTTATTCCAGAATTAAAGGATATTTTTATTAATAAAAATGGACTCTTAATTTAATTTAATTCACTACTTAAAGTTAAAATAAGAATTTTATTTACATCTTTTATAAAGGATTTTGAGTCGAGGTAAATAAAAAATAAGATTAAAAAATAATTTAAATAAATCATAATAATATAGTTTTATATATTAAATTACTGATTAAATACTTATTTAAATAAGTAATTATATTGATTCTAAGTATATTTTGATGATATAAACATATAAAATATTTGCCACAGGATAAAGATTTTAATTTTTTATATAATAAGAATTGGTAAATGACATAGTAAACAAAAATATTTAAATATAAGTGGAAAAATAAATTAACTATTTAACCAATATATTATAGAATTAAAACAAATTAATAATATTATATATTTGAAAAATTAGGAACAAGAAATTAATATCCTTAGTTCTAATTGCATAACCAATCCTTTAACATTCAGAAATGATTTCTTACATGTAACATCATAAATCCAGGAATGCCACAAAGCAACAATGGTTTATAAAGTAAAATATTTTATAATAGACAATTCATTTAGAGAAATGTATTTAAAATTTTTTTGATACCTCGACCTATAGAACAACTTGAAAACATTTTCACTTAAGGTTTTGATTGAAAAAATTAAGAAATTCATAACAAGAAGAAAAATAAATCAACTAGAAGATTCAATTAGATTAGGCAAAACTTATCATCTAAATAAGTTTTTTCAAACTGCAAATTGAAAATGAGCAATATTAATTCAAATAAAATATATTGGTTATATCTTTAAAAAATAGACGATAAAGAATTAATTCTATATTTATTTAATTTTTTGAATTATTTGAAATAGATTATGATAATATTTCTTAATAGAATTTTGTAATAGATTAAGCTGAATAGCTGAATACTAAGGAATAAAGACTTAAAATAATATCAAAGGATGCTTAGAAATCAAAATACGAAATAAGTAGTTTTAATTGGATATATTGGTCATGGTAAAACAACTCTTTTTAATAAAATTTGTAAGGCAAATTAACCAGTAGAATTTGGTGGACCATCTGTCACAAGACAATCTGTTCTTAGTTAAAGTGCCTATGGAGAAGGTTTTAATTTGATAGATACTCCTGGTTTAGGGACAGATAAAGATAAATTGGGTCATGTAATTTGCATTTCGACAGCCTTAACCTTTGGATTAATTCATTAGATTTTAATAATTATCTAGTTAGAGAGGCTACCAACAATGAAAGAGAAGTTAAGACCAATGATCTAATAGTAATTTAAAAGATTCAAAGATATCATCACTGTTGTTGCAACTCATATGGATAAAGCAGATCAACCAGAAAAAAGGTAATAAGAGTTAGTTGATTTAATTAAAGGATATAATATTAAGTCTTTGATTTTTGTATCAAATGAAACATAAGGAGAAGATTTATGTTTAAGGATTGATGTTATTCTTTAGAACTGTGATTAAAAAGGCAAAATTTGTTAATTATCATAAGCTGAAATATAATCTCATTTTGATATTATTGATTTAGCAGATGATGTAGTTGATTAACTTAATGAGGCAAAAGGTTAAGTTAGTGTTAAATTTGATAAAATTGCAAAAGCTATTAAAACATTTATTAAAAACTTTTCAGAGACTGATCCAACTATGCCTGAAGTTATGCATCAATTAACAATCGCTATCAAAGATTATGCTGATGAAACCCTCTTAAAATTTGAAAAAGATAACATGAATTTATTTAATGATTTATATTCAAAACTTGAGGATGATAAATTAGTTTATTTAATTGATGCTCAATTAAAATAAGAATTGGTAATGGAAGTAAATGGTTTGATTTTTCTTGCTTAAAATAAAATGAAGATATCCTAATAACAATGTTTTAATTATATAAAACAATGCCCTCATTGTGGTGAGATTTGGATGAAAGTTTATGGATGTGAAGATCAAACATTTTGTGGGAAATTACCTGAAAATGAAGAAGAACATTTCAAATAATAAAAGACTCCAAAAAGATTCAAATTTTAATTTTAGGAATCAGGAATAACTTATCATGATTTGGGAATTTAATTTTCAAAAAAGGATAAGAGTTATTAATTTTAGAATTTAATTCAGTCATTCCAGATTCCATAATAGAATAGGGAAAGAGCACCATCGATGTAAGTATTCGAAAGATTCAACCAATAAATTAAAAATTATCAAGAATAAATAATACCAATTTAAAGACCTAATTTATAAATGTTCTTATATGAACATTTAAATTTTGAAAGAAAAGGTAAGATTGGCTGTGGTAAATCATTTATATGGCATGAATTAAAACCTTTACCTTAAGAATAATTAAAGGAATTATTAGATCCAGGTTTGTTAGATTATTTGGCAAATGTAGTAAGTGAAGAGAAAAAGGCTAAATAAATTGAATTAGCTACCAAAATTGAAAGCTTAATGAAAACCAACTAAGTAGTTATTCTGCAATGATTTGAAAATAAGTGAAAAATATTGATATAATATTTAATTATAATCTAATTTTATTTTTTTATTATTTCTTCTTAATAGAATTACTAACATACTCTCATATTGAATTAAATGTTTCGTTATAATCATTATGTAACAACTTATTATATTTCTAGGTGACTAAGGTTCTGAAAAGGATTAATTATTTAAACTATTGCCAATTGAATTTAAAGAGATTGTATTTGAAAAATTGCTAATAAAAGAAAGAATAGATTAAGGTGATAAAAAACTTATATTCATGAACTTTCCAGAAGAAAATGAAATAACTTCAGCAATTCATTCTCTGTTAGCTTTGTCATAGTATTTTATGATTATATAGATTGTCTTCTGTTTAGAATATGCTCAATCAGTTACTCAGAAAGTTTCTTAATTAATAAAATTGTTTAATGAAGCATTTGATTAAGAAGTAGAAAACATTTATACATTTTTTATAAATAATTCTCCTTAGAATCTTTAGAATAATAGAATATACTAATTTTCTAAAATTGATGAAAGTAATAAACCAAATTTTATTAGTATACTATAAAACATTTAAAACTCTAATTCTTGCATACTTTAAGATAATTTATAGAATACAATAAAATAATAATAAGAATAATTATAAAAAAGGGTAAGTATTATGGTAAAATAATTTGAAGAGGAATACTTATCCACTAATCAAGTTCTCTTACTTGAGAATAACTTATAAAAAATTTTATCAAACGAAATATAACTATTGAGCAAACAAAATTAGGATAAAAATATCAAATAAAATGAAATCATTTTATATAGTGATACAATTTACTAAATTTGTTGTAATAAATAAGAATAAAGAACTTAAATTAGTAAATTAAATGGATGGTTTTATAAGTTATCGTATTGTAATAATTGCTAAATTTTATACCAATAATAAGACTAAAAATGTATAACTTATGAATTATATTTATTTTCATTAGATCTAAAGTAAATTGATAATTTAACACAAAATAAATGTTATAAATGCTAATAATAATATCTTACTAAAATGAAACAAAAAACCATACTTTTTTTGCTATAAATCTATCTATTCAAGCAAATTAAAAATAACTTAAAAATATAAGTGGGTACTTCAAAATAATTGATTTAAGAAGGGTTTTTGAATATAAAAAATAAAATAGATTGCGTTTCTATATTACTTTTAAGCGACGAAGATGAGCTAAAATAATTTGTGATGCAACGAGCATATGAAAATAACAATTACAAAGAGACAAAATAATTTAAGAAAGGGGATATCTTAAATGATAGCTTTTAACTTATAGATACTCCAATATTTTAATTTGATGAAGACTCAGAAAATTTAGAATCAATTTACTCAAATTATCTAAATGAAAATCCTATTAATTTTATTATATTTTGTCTAAAATTATAAAGATCAAGTTTAATAAAACAAAGACTTTTTTCAATGTTAAAAAAATTACCTAAAATTAATAAATAAGCTTTTGGTGCGTTAATCATAAATTAGAACAGCGATGTTTAAGTAGAGCAAACATCTGAATAAGAAATCATCAATAACATCAAAGGATTAATTCCTTAGACTACGCTAATATAAAATACTAATACAAATGTAGAGATTATCAAAAAAATATCTGATTTTATAAACAATATTAATCAAACACAACAAATTTCATTTGAACAAACTATTTTTCACAAATAAGGTAATGAATCAAATTAGGAATAAATTGAAAAATCACTATAATTAATGTCTCAAAATATATCAGATTAATATATTTAAAATTGTTAACAGGAAATAAAGGATGAAGAAATAAGATAAGAAAAGTTAGAGTATGAGAAACAAACTTTACAATAATAAATTTCTAATCTTAATAGTGAATTTTGTAATAAAAAAAAAGAATTTACAAATCTTATCTATTCAATTCAATAAGAGCTTAGAGAATAAGAAAAAAATTATCTAGAAAATATTCACAATTTGAACAATAAGATACATTAAGTTGAAATCAATTACACTTCTTCAATTTTAAATTTAAGATCAAAAAAAAGTTAGCTTATTTAAATGGAAATCGAAAAAAGTAAAAAGATTTAGAATTTAAA